AAATCGTAGATAGTTTTGAAGATTCGAAATATATTTCATATGAATTTAGAGATAATCATTATAATGTTAGTGCTACGAATTTAGATAATGGCTGGAATGTGTTGTGTTAACAAAATAATTTGAAGTAAATAAAACAGGTCTGTTCAATTTAAGTCATTAGGTTAAGCGTGCTAAGAAATATTATATTAAAAAAATGAGTACCGTACAATAAGTTCATTTCGAGATAACTATTAAAGTATATTTAATTAAGACGTACTTTATTTACATAGGAGGCTAACGACTAGAACAGTTAGTGATATCTATATAAAAACATTAATATTTATATATTGCCTACGATCAAACATTAGTCAGAAATAGTCAAAAAGATCATCTTTAACGAAAAAAAATCGGGTAGAAATCAAGGAGAAATTAATAGAGAGGTTTTGAAACCTCTAGGCGCTTCTTCTATTTGCCACCATTACAGCTAGTAGAGAGCGCACCTAAACGAGTGAAGTAAAAAGTAAGAAATAGCCCTAAGAAAAAGCGGAGAAAGGACTTTCACATGTGGAATTATGGCAGACATTTGAATGAAGTGTACATAATTAAGGCTCCACGCGGCTAGTGAAGCTTGGTGGAAATAAGTTTAAGTTGAAGGCAAGGCATCGTATTGGTCGGTTAGTGTGAATAGTAGCACGCATTGCACAGGACATACAGTTTTTTGCGTTTTTGTTAAAAAGAGCTATAAAAATACTAAAGGATCTAGGTATACAACAGTACAAAATACGTAGATGCGTATTTTCTCACTGATGCCTCCTAATATCATAATGGGCATCAGAATTCTAGAGTCGATGCTGTAAGGAGTTGTGCCGTAGTGTACCATCGGTATGCTCTCTTAGCTAGGAAAGTCACTTCCGAATGTGGGAACTCTCTCACCGTGAGTACTTAGTTACCTGATTTTCTAATGAAGCAAATATGTAGCTAAATGTAGCCCTTTTTGCTCAACTACTGTTTCTTTCATCACTCTTTAAACCGAAAGTTTTTGAAAGCCTTCAATCACAGTTTTTAAATAAACCTCAAAACCTGTTTTATAATGAATTAGGAATTAGCAACGCAGACCTAGTCGGCAGCGAAGGCCATAACTAGTTACTACACACAAACAGCCTTAATTAGGCTGTTTATGAAGTCTATGCTAAATTTATGATGGGAGGCATCGTGTAAGTGCAAAATCGATCGCTATTAAAGAGCTAATATATATATTAAAATAATAAAAAGATCGAATTTCGCAAGCCTCTTTTTGTGCCTTTTGGGTTTGTTCATAATAATTAGCTGCGCTTAATGCATATGATTCAACAACTAACATCTGTTTTATCCTAAAAATAAGAGTCCTAATATCCTTGGCTAGGTCAATTAGTTAATGTTTAACGTCTAGTGCTATTGACATTAGGCAGTGGTTCAGACGTCTGGCGCACTTTCCAGCATAAAACGCAATGCCATTGATTTCAAATTTAGACCATTTCACATGTCCCAAGTTTAGTAGGCGGACGCGCTGTCATTGCAGCATCTTAAGAACTGTTAAATTCGCTCAGCACGTCCTCAGGTCGCTGTAGGCAAGAACGTACAATATATTAATAAAAATTACGCTAAACTACAAAAATGGCTACCAATATAAATGCATACGTTTTGGAGGTTGAGAACTGAACTTTACCTAACTTTTTTTTGCGGAATCGATTAAGCGAGATTTTTTATCACATCCATTGTTATATATATATATATATATATATATATATATATATATAAACTGATAGTTCCGTCATCAATTCCTATATAGGTATTCCTTTTACTTTTAATATGGTAGACAAAGGACATGCAGCACTTCTGCAACCTCAGAAAAGTCTGGTTTGGGCAACCTTGTATGACATGCGCGGTTAAAGAATATTTCTTTATCAGTTAAGCTAATAATTGAAATGATCTTGTATTACCTACAAATATGTTCTCTGTAAGTAAGGTATACGTAAAAAAAATAGAACAAATAGAATAGTTCTATTTGGAGTAAAGATATTTTAGGGTATCTAGATAACTTTTGAACAATTAGATTTTACATTTAGCTGTCATTACCAATTTATTAGAAATGAGACGAATCATTGAAGTGACTTAATATGCGAAACGACTAAGTGATTCCAAAATATGAAGTATGAAAATGTTATGAGTATATCCGTCTTTAGCACGTGGTCTAGTATATTTTTCATCATTTTTGACTTCAGCCCCGCAAAGTCAGCTCCTATAAATTTTCAAGGGCGGATCGAACGCAAGGTATCGACTGTAAATTGGTCGCAAACACAAAACTTTTAATCAAATAAGCAAGAAAAACATATAATTCCGTGAATACGAATTTAATCCAAATTGTCTTCGTGAGTTTTTATTTTTGCGAAATGTGAATTTCTGGTCTTAAAGGGTAAAATCGGTTATACGGCGTTTCTAAAAAATTACAGAACCGAATTCAGTAATTTAAATCATCTTCACAGTGTAGAAGAATGGACAAACGACCATCCAAGCAGGCAAATCAAGGAAAATGACGGTTTACCTACTAGCTAATCTGCTTGTAGGAGCAAGTCCTCGAGCGGACAGCTCTGGTGAGAAGATAATCTATAATGGCTTTCTTTTTTCAAGTCAGAAGAATACCTATAGAGTAGGCCGACTGAAAGTTGATTCGCTGCTTAAACAAGTATGCCATTAGTTAACATAATTATGTATTTTATGACGTTTTGCTAAAATGTCCTTATTTAATTGTCTTTATATAGCTCGTTTATACATGTCTATTTCATTGGGTTTCAACCAAAACTCGCATTATGCGCTACAGTTGCGCTTGTTATGCGTGTAAACATCGCGCCCAATCGAAACAATGCGAACTCGTCTACAGAATGAAAATATTTGTTCTAATCTAACTACACTCATCCCTACTCCTGGTAACTCGTCAAGCGTTTCTCGTTTCTTGTTCCGCCAGAACGCTGCCAATCCTGTCTAAACTCGAACAGATACTGCGAAAATGCGCAAAAGCAGTATCAGCAAACTCAACGATCCTTCTTAGTTGGACAGGCGGGTTTCTTTCTATCTGATTCGACACAGTCATAGGAGTAGTTGAGTAATCTCTGCTACATTGACATTCCACTCGTCGCATCTTCACTGAACTATTTGTCCATGACTCTTCGTTCGTCTCGGCCCCGCGCCCTCCTTCAGCTTCGATTCAACTCATTTTGTCCCCCTCTACGCGCACAACTTAGCTGCGCTCTCGTAGTCGATGGCTGCCTAAATGCGTGGATCTCTGTGTAACGGCTGTCGGCACTAGGCGCTCGCGTATTCTCGCCCACACATGAGGACACTCCCTCTCCGTTTCCGTATCGTCTGATGTTCACCTGCTAAACTTTCTGTGGCGTACATAGAGTTACCATTGATACTAATATTGAATCTGCATGCGTAAATACTCAGTGGTCCTCGCTCTTTTTTGATCTAGAGCCCTACACGAAAATCGATAGCTTTTTGTACGTTCCCCTCGTAATGAACTTGAGGCCATCACAATGAGCCAGTTTTTTTTAACGAAAGGATCGTACGATTGCATTTTCGAGCTTTCTTTGCGACTATATGGCAAATAAACAGGACGTTGCCATTACACGGGTTCTGATTAAAAATCAGCAGCAATTGATGTTTTTCTAACTTTCCTACATCGTACTATAGCTCAAGCAAATCTACAGTTCTGTCTGTGACCTTCATAGATTATCATAGGTATTTCATGTTGCCTCTAGGTTCTTACGTGAATTATTAAAGTGCTCATTGGGTTTATAAAGCGAGTACCTTTCTTTCTCTTTTTTGCGCTGGTTTCCTCCCAGTATAGAGCTTCGTAGAAAGCACGACGTAGTTCTTGTGTATTCATAAGTCCATTGAGTCTACGAGGTTTAACAGCACCGATAAGTGATACCGGTCACGTGTTCTACGAGTGCTTTATTGCAGGGTTCAACTATTACCTGACAGGTTGATTTCCAACTCTATTCGGCCAGTACGAATTCTAGTAATGCCGGCAAGAAAAAGGGAGGTCCAGAATACAGGCTAGAAGCATTCGAGTCGTACAGACTGAAGTCAGCCTTCTCTGCTGTGCCTTCCCCAGTATCCTAATGTTGTGACGAGACTGGGCCAGACTGACTGAACAATGGCCGCTCGTGCCTTCGTAGTCAGAACGATCTACGCACCTCGACGTTTTGTCTTCCATCAACGTTAACGTTTTGGCCAACTACCGCTGCTGTTAGGAACGCCTGACATTTGGCGCTTTAGCTGGCTATGTAGGGGAGAAGCTGTTGCCGCTCAACAGTCTCTTCTTCGGCTGGCTTCGTTCCGCTCCTGGCTGTCGCTTGAGAGAGAGCACACTGGTACTGGTATTCCGACTGGTGCTCTAGCAGCGGCAGAGCGTACGCGGCTGCCGTCGTCGCAGCAGGCTCTCTCTCCCTATGCTGTGTAATGTGTTGCTGCGAGGGCGCACTCATCCTGTTCGACCCTTCTCAGTGCTGGTGGTGTTGCTGGCTGTCTGTTTGTGTATCTGCCCTTCTGCGCCGTCGGTCCATCGTTGTGCCCGCCGCTGCTGCCGCGCTGGCGGCAGTCTGTGTGCGCGCTGCCAGCAAACGTGTGTTCCTCAACGGCTCGGGAACCGGTGTGGCGCGGTGTGGTCGTCGGCTTCCTTGTCGGCATCAGTTGTCGTCCGTTGCGTCGATTGCCGGCAGCCGTCGGCCCCGCCATCATAATCTTCGGCGGCTAGTTACTAGCGGATGGGTCGTTACGGCTGCCGCTTTCGCTGCTGTCGCCGTCTGTAGTTGATGGTGGAGCGCCTCGATGACTGCTGCCGCCGCCGCCGCCGCCGCTGCCGCTGCCGCCGCTGCTGCTGCTGCTGTTCAGCTCCGTCTCGCTCGGTCCGTGTAACTATCGACTGCCAGCGAGCCGTACGCAGTAGATCGCCAGCAAACAGCCAGTCGTGAGTAGCTGGTTGCTAGGTGCTGGTGTCTGGTGCTTCTTATTCGGATGTCCGCGTGTCTGTTTGTCTGTCTGTCTGTGTTTCAGAGAAGTTGAGAATTGAGGTCTGGAGAGTTGCCGATGTTGCTGCTGCTTCAACCTGTGGCTGTGCTGCGGCTGTAGTTGCTACTTCTGCTGCTGCCGCTGGCGACAGCATCAGTGGCGGCTGGCTGCCTAACTGACTGCTGAGAACGGCATTCACTACGACGGGTAGTCTTGGTGCGACTGCTGCCGCCGCCGCCGCCGCCGTCGTCGTCGTCGTCGTCGCCGTTGTTGTCGTTGTTGTTGTTGTGGTGGTGGTAGTGGTGGTGGTGGCCGCTTTCTGGCGACGGCTGGTTGTGTTGTTTGGGTCGTAGCGCTACGCCGTTGCAGCCTTTCATATTGACTGCTTCTGGTACCGCAGTCGTTGTCGATACGTCCCGTGGTGGAAGTAGTGGCAGGCTGCGGAGTTAGTCCTCCGTCGTTCCCAGTTGTCTGTCATGTGCTGTGACGGCCACAGTAACAAGTGCTGTCCCATTGCCGCCAGCTGCCAGCTAGAAGCAAATAACTTATAACAAAAAGCTATGATGTTCAGCCCTCTCACTGTTACTGTTAGCTATGACGATACTAGTTAAGGGTACATCGTTCATCACTGATACTGAGGGCATGCATTAACGTAGCTCGCCTGTGCTCCGGCTGACGGCGTTAAGTAGTTGTCACTACCCCGAGCCTGGTTTCGTCGAAAGTTTTCAAATCATCGTCTCGTTTTCGTTCAGTTCAAATGAGTGCAGAAAAAGGAACACGTTGTCAGTGCACGCCAACTTGAACGGCGACGGAGCATCACTGACGAGATCAGAGTATCGATGTGATCGGTGCGTTATGGCTAGAGTGTGCTAGAGTGTTAATGTTCATGTCCTCGGTCCGTAAGTCTGTCCGGCAGGGCGTGGATTTCGACTCGGTTATCAAATCACGCCCTTGACCTTCCCTCTTTTCCACCAAGGATTAGCGGATACGGTGTTACGATACGTTCGGGCAAAAGATAATGCACGAAACGAACTAACTAAGATAGAGAAGTCCAAAGAAGTTCGATGCTGGTGACGATCGTGGTCGCTGTGTTCAGTTCTATTATTCTGTGCTAGAAATTACCTCGTATGGTTGTTGGTATTGGCCGATTTTGTGGATGACGAAGAAGACGACGAAATAAGTGATCACAAACACCGTTGAGCCAGCGAGTGACCGAACGGAGCAAGGCTGTCTGCCAGCAACAGCTATGGCCTCGCCCGAGTTCGATAAACGGCTGGAGGAACGGAGCAGTCTGCGGAACCTCATCTCACAATGGAATGCCAACCGTCTCGATCTGTTTGCGCTTTCGGAGCCAAACGAGGTAAGTACTCAATGCCGTATAGCCGTATTTTTGCCTTTGTTGAAGAGTATCGTGTTGCTGGCGGTTAGTAAAGCAACAGGCAGATGCTTCAAACGTGATATACACACCCACGACGCTATTCAATTAAGATTATATTGTTCGGTTCATTCTGATCGGGTTTTTAGCTGGTTTGCCCTATATCTCCGTGGCGAACGATAATCTCCGCGAGACCGCACCGAGTAATGTACCGTCTTTCTTCTGCGGTGGATCCGTGTGTGGCTTTATAATGTTGTTAGTAGAGATAAGTTGTTGAGGCGCTGCACAGTAGGGCCGGTGGCGCTCCAAGATGGCGGCTTCCTTCTTGGAATGAAGTTCGCAGACCTCACCGGCCGCTGCTGTAGCAGTTGTCGCTACTACCGATCGTGTCCGCTGGCGGATCAACCAAAAGCCAGCCGGCATTTGGCATGAACGAGCGCTCCGTTGGTCGACCGACTGGAACCGTTTGTGTTGAGCGGCGCCGCCGCCTGGCGTCCGACGTCAGAAGGCCGTAGCTTTGTTGTGGTTGTTGACGTAGTAGGTGCTTTGTATGAAATTATCATCGATTGAACAATACTTAGGAATCGAATTAGAGCTACAGCTAAAAATGGAGAGAAGGTCAAGGCATTTTATTTTTGAAAAGTGGTTATTACAACTTTTTTATTCGCACTGGTTACGGGTAGCAATTGTGTAAACGAACGACCATTGTCAACGGTCAATATTTATACCGCCGAATAGCGGTTTCGAGACTTTGCCTTCGCCTGTCGAGTTAAGCGGTTCGCACAGCGTAGATAGCACATAGATGGTTACTGCTTTATCTTTGTTCTACTGTGTAGGCGATTGAGTAGGCTTATCCGGCAGCTTAAGTACAATGGACATACGGAAGACTGAACATCGCCTATTTAATGCGTGACTTCTCCTAGCCGAACGTTTTAAACTCCGTTTATCAAATATTTTTTCCACGGTATTTCCAACATAATCGAGGCACGCTAGCAACAAACGGCTCTGGCTGATAACCGTGTCTTTTGTTATGCTTCCATTGAAATAAACAATGCATTCAAGAACGTGCGTTGGGTTGTTAACATTGCCTTTGGTTAACTTATCCGGTCATGATGAATAATCCGTAGGTTGTTCTTTCTGCTAGATAAAACTCTATTAATCGTTAGGATACGCTGTGTAGAGGCAATACTCTAGCAAAATACAGAGCAAATGGTTTTCTGCACAGAATGTCGAATGACTCTGTTCGAGCATTTCGAACTTCTAGAAAATACACCGAAAATAGACATCATGGTGGACCTTCAAACAACGCTGCTGTTTTACAACAGTCACCCCCAATAGTAAACTCTGTTGGGAAAGATCTCGGTTTCATCGTATTTTTCGACATGGCTACATAGCTCCACTTTGCTGACTGTATATCTATCGCCATTTCGGCTTGTTTAGCTTGGCCGTAGGATATTTATTTACCGCATATATCGTAATCGTCATGGGTCGGTCCGCTCCCGCAAGTAAACACCGAGAATATTCACTGATTTTAGGAGAACAGCTGCAACTACAATGTCGGTGAAAGAGGTAAGAACGATAGCGCTTAGCGTAGAAATATAGAAGGATAGACAGATTGAGCGCATACACAATCGATTCGACGACAGGTCTATGTGTATCCTCGGGGTACGATTGGATGGTAGAACATACAGAACTGTCTAGAATCTTAGGACCGTATCCGTCAAGCTACATCTAACTGAACGCTTTTGATACGGTCTCGAAAGGCACGAACTGTTCGTTTGCCAGCCTTGGAAGCCGTTATTAAAAGGCTTTTCTTGGGACGACCCTTAGGTAGGGATGTCTCACAGCTTCCGGCTTTCGCTAATCTCAACAACCTTCAACCGCCAGAAGTTTTCACTCGAATACGGGAAAATCATCTCGAACTTTTCAGTTCAGCACAGGTGCGTCCCTGTCTAGTTTCCTACAGTAGATCCGTACTATGAGATGGGCCGTGAGACAGACCGCGATCTTATGAAGGCGTCCTAGAAAATATGACGAGGAATAAAACAGATTGATTGGCGATAAGAGCAGCTATAGTTAAGGCTTCTGATAATGAGATGACTTTCTGCGCGAACTCACAAACAAGAGCATACATTTCTTAGCTGGACTCTAGTATTGAACAAGTCATCTCGGATCTACGTACATCACCTATAATACACGTGCATCGCCACATGGGTTGCCTATTGAGAAGACTGCCGTGTGCCACAAGCTAAGGCGAACCTAGCTACAAGTACACTTCTCCCTACAATATGCTAATCTATTCGATATTGGAAGTAACGCTCCGAACTTGGTCGGTTCGAACACGTTTCTCAACAGATGCTTATTATGAGCTTTTCTTCCGAAAATTAATATCTAATAATAACAGTAATCTTTATTAACACCGTTTGTTCAACAAACAATACGTAAATGAAAAGGTAAAAAGGCAATTTACATTACGTTCATTTTTTTATATGACTTGATAATACTACTAGTAATATCAATATATAAAACCGCTTGTTCCAAATGTGTGATCAAATGATTCCTGTGATCCATGCTGCTAGTAAGTGTGGTATATATACACACTCGGCTCAGAGTAGACTAACCCAGAGTAGATAATGCAAAATTCTTCATCTAAGCACAATGCGTTCAAACGTCGTCAAGATCTAGCTAAATCAGTTCACTCAGCTGACTCATAATGAATTAGAAGAATTTTAGTTAGACATGGAGTTAGGTTGTATCAAAGCCATGGATAGATATGTATCCTTGTAGTTGTTATTAGTCTCTCTGCCACCTAAACAAACCATGCCAGCAACAAACCGCTAATTTAGCTGGCGGAACCTCACAAAGATTTGGGAATTGACCCGGGAAATTATTTGAGCTAAACTCGTTTCTCAGAAGGAATTTTTTTTCTCAAGAGGAACTATTCCAGATTATTCATTTAGCATGTCATTGGTCTAGCAATAGAGTAATATCCCTTAAGAACAGTCGCGATGCCATTGCTTATAATGTGATCAACAGAGCAAACTTTGCTGACTTCGTCCGATTCACTGGGAAACTGATGTACTAAGTAAATGGTAATAGCAAGCCAGCATTTACGGAATTACGTAGTCACAGAGTGACTTTTGTTTATCTTTGCTTACTCATCACCATATTGGGTTCCTGCGTGGTTAGATGACTTTAACAAGAATCAGCCTCCGGCCAGATTCACACTTTCCGTTGCTCTATATCGCCCACATTGTAGAATGGCTCTCAATAATAGTCGACTAAAATAGACGATGGTGAATGCGGATGATGACATTTAATATCTGTACAAAGTCAAACTTCCAGTCCAGTACTGAGATAGGCGTATTTAATGTCAGACGCCTAACACTGGGCCTAAGTGTGTAATTGACGATTTAAATGCGTACATTATTGCCTTTTTTTTTGTATCCGTATAAGTACAGTATGGCGAATATGTTTCAGTGGTATTCGTATTCCTGCACTAGTACTTCCATGACTATAAAAGCTAAGGGGGAACAGATGTAAAAAATAGTTAGATGAAACAAATTCTATCTGATTTAGTCTGACGTTTTCCGATGAACAAGATGCAGCAGGAACTTAACTAGAACTGAGATTCTTTAATTACGAAATTTGCTACTTTGTTGATCGAGGCAAGTTCTAGGCAAGCAATAATCAACTGTCGTCACCTTGCGGGAGTTTTAGATGGTTCTTTTGAATTTGGGAGACGGTACTAAGTAATGCACAAAATTTGGTTTCATATTTAGCCTGTGATTGTGAACAAGCTGCTTGGCTCTGTGATATAGTACATGGCTTTATCGACACATTCGAATGATCTACCAGACAACTATGCGAAGTTGTCAGGACTAATCAGTAAAATGGCGTATTTACCATTTGGTGGTGATCACTACAACGCTAACAGTTTCGTTACGTAGTGCCAACTTGAATCCGATCTAGGTTTAAGGTACCTCTTAACTCATCCTTTCTATCATCTTTACTGATACTCATACCTGGACAATAGTTCGATAGGTTCCATGCATTGTTTTAGCAAGGAAAACCGTCCGATTAAGACAGGTTCAGAACATACCTATGAATAGCAAAGTAATTATCCGAAATATTCTTGATGCATGCATAGTCTTTTTTTTAATTATGATTGCGCCATTTTAGTTAAACCTCTAACACTGATCTTGCAAATAGTACCTGAAGCACGTTCATATATATGTATATGGAGGTTCGTAAGGGAATTTTTAATGATTTTACAGACTTGAACAAAGAGTACATATGTTTACACGAAGTTCAATGATTGTGATTTTCGGAGCGCATTCATATATGGTTCTTAAATGGTAGTCAATATAAATGCCGTTTTATTATTGTTGTTGGATAGATCGAATCGGCATAAAGGTTCCAAAGGGAGAAAGGACTTGTACGGATATTCGCTTCGAGGAGATGCCAGCTATGAAGGTGAAACATGAATTCATCATGGATCTACAACGGGACGTTCAGTCACAGAGAGGACTGGAAATATTTATAGGTTAACAATTATACGTGTATGTTCGGTCCCGCAACTAAGTTACACATAAAAATTCACAGCATCCCTTGATTGATATCTAATATTCATGTGCAGAGGAAATTTTAAACCCGTTGAATTAACTGGAATATTGTTGATCGAAAGCGGCGGGAAGGGAAAAGCTGTGCACCAATGTTTTATTCTTATCGGAGGAGACTAGAAGGGAAGCACCTTTGGAAGAATTGTTTCTATGAAGACACTTTGACCGCGAAATTCGCGATCGCAGAGATCCACAGTAATTTGTTCTTTGTAGGCGTCTGTGGTATGTTTACGATGTCTATTGTATTGGTTAAGTGATAAGCTAAACCCCCGTTTTCTGCTCGAAAAGTATGCAAATAGTATAGCCTTCAATCCAGCTGTATATTTATTATTATGCAACATATTCGTATGAAATTAAAAGTGA